TTTGGAAGATTTCTACAAGCCTGAAGTTTTAATTCCTGAGTTTGCCTATTCCGAATCAGGGATCTACAAGCAGATCAGTACCTCTTCTGACCTTGATGTAAGTACTCAAGTAATAAATTGCAGCTCATAGATCCAGTGGGATCATCATAGTGCAAAGGGGATCTGCTCCTCCCTGAAGCCCACTGCATTTCCAGTTCCCTGGGGGAATATAAGTTTGTAAGAACCTGGGGATCTTCAGCTGCTTTCAGGAAGCTGCATCTGTTTCATACAACAGGAGGAAAATCTTGTCCCTGTGCACAGGAGGTGGTAGCAGCTATCACCAGAGTTCCCCAGCTGAAAGCTTTTGTACTCTGAATCATTTTGGTATCACATACCTAAAGTACCCAAGGAGCTCTGCAGGAGACGCAGCAGGAAGCTCCCTGCCAAGCTGCCTGTTCTCATAGCACGTGTTTGCTTCTACACAAGTGCAATTTAACTCCCCGGCCAGACTATAAACCACGGCCATAGCCTCTGCTCAGAGGAGTTGCCACCCCGTCAGCCTCCCCAGTAGCCCGAGTCCTGCGTCAGCAAGCATTGCTCTGGGCACACATAAGCTGTCCCTTAGTCAAAGCTGCGAGTTGCGTTTCTTGGCTGTGACAGGGGGACAAAGAGCTGTGTAAAAGTTGGATGAATGAATCTCAAATGCCAAGACAAGGAATATCTCCCAACTGACGCTGTGATCTGCTGGATTTAGCTTATCCAGCAACCCTGGCTTAGTCATTTATTTCGGGCCTGGCCCGTAGCAGCCCGAAGGGGCACCACAGGTTTATCCCTGTGCTCTTGACCTCACAGCCTGTGTGGATTCCTCTCCAGGGCTACCTCCAGTACATCAAGAGCCTGCCGCTCAACGACAGCCCAGCGCTCTTTGGTTTACACGACAATGCCAACATCACCTTCGCTCAGAACGAGACCTTTGCTCTGCTGGGGGCCATTATGCAGCTGCAACCCAAGACCTTCACGCTGGGAAGCCGCAGCAGGGAAGAGGTGGGTGCCCTGATCCCGTCAGTGCTCTGGCAGCCAGTGCCCAGTACAGGCAGCGAGCACAAACACCAGCTTTCAGCAGGTGCCACCCCGCCTGCTGGGTGCCAGCAGCGGCACTGCCATCCAGGCATTAGCTCTCCCCCTTCTCGGCAGCCGTGGCCAGGAGGGTGCTCACCCACTTGCTGCCTTCCTTCCAGCTCGTGGAGGAGACCTCCAAGGACATCCTGGCCAAGCTGCCTGCCCCCATGAACCTGCCGGAGGTGATTCACAAATACCCACGGCTCTACGAAGAGTCCATGAACACAGTGCTGGTACAGGAGGTGATCAGGTAAAACCCCTGTGGGATCGCATCCTGGGCCAGCAACCGGCTGGTCCCTTGGGGAAGAGCAGAGATGCGCAGGCCCCTGCTCCCGCCCACCTTTGAGGAACCTCATTGCTCAGCATGGCAGTGGGGTTGGCAGCCACACAGCTGTGTCCCAGCTGGGACCTTCAGCTGATCCCTGTCCTGTGGGGACTGATCAGTGTCTCCATCTGCTACCGTCAGCAATTCAGGGCTAGGGGGGCAGCTGTGAGACCCCGTTAAAGAGGAATGGGGCTGGGAGTTACATAGAGGAGCTTCACTCATTGTACAGAGATCCATACCCTCTCTGGGCAGACATGGGCAATAAACCACTGCACTGAGTCGCTCTGTTCCCTCTGCTCTTTCTCTGCAGGTACAACAGGCTCCTGGAGGTGATTGCTCAGACACTGAAGGATTTGCTGAAAGCTCTCAAGGGCCTGGTCGTGATGTCCTCTCGGCTGGAGCTGATGGCCAGCAGCTTGTACAACAACACTGTCCCCGAGGTGTGGAATGCCAAGGTACGTGCCCCGGCCAGCCCAGCTGCCCGCAGGAGCTCACCTGAAGCAGGGGAACGGGTCGTCAGCCACCACAGCTGGACTGGGCTGTCTCGGGTGGAGCTGGCTCTTGCTCCCCCGTCGCGGAGATGTCTCCTGCCTCCTGCAGCTCGCAGTTGTTCCCGGCCCCAGGCTGGGTGAATCCCTGGGCTGTGGGCAGCTGTCAGCAACTGGGGCACAAGGTCTAGGGTGTCCCTGGTTGCATTCAGCACCTTCCTCTCTGGGTGCCCCGCAGGCCTACCCGTCACTGAAGCCTTTGGCATCCTGGGTGAACGACTTGGTGCAGCGGATTGAATTCCTGCAGAAATGGATCAGCCACGGGATCCCCTCTGTGTTCTGGATCAGCGGGTTCTTCTTCCCCCAGGCCTTCCTCACTGGCACGCTGCAGAACTTTGCCAGGAAGTCTGTCATCTCCATCGACACCGTCTCGTTTAGCTTCAAGGTCAGTAAGTCAGCCAGAAGCTCTGGATTTGTCTGGATTTTTTTTTTTTAATCTGCTGCTAGAAGGCCACAAAGGCAGCAGTTCTAGCCCAGACCTGCCCAAGAGGTGAAGCCACCAGCTGCACAGCTGCCCATGGACCCCATCAGCCCCTTTGTGCTCAGATACACCCACCCACACCGCCAGACCCCTCCACAAGGCCAGCAGAGGCTTCTCTGCCTCTCCAGTCCTGCTCACATCCCGCTCCACAGGCTCTCCCACAGCCTCATGATGTGAGATGCCAGAAAACCCAGCCCAGCCCCTCTGAGAGCTGGGGCGAGCTCCCCTTCGGCAGCACTGACTTAACTAAGAGCAGCTTAAGGCGGCCCTTAGGGCCGAACCTTGATAGGGGCCCTGGGCCCGCTCTCCTCTGCAGGTAATGAAGGAGTCGGTGAGTGAGCTCACTCGCCATCCCGATGAAGGCTGCTACATCCACGGCTTGTTCCTCGAAGGCGCCCGCTGGGACGCTGCTGCGTTTCAGCTAGCGGAGTCGCGCCCCAAGGAGCTTTACACAGAGATGGCCGTCATCTGGCTGCTTCCTGTCCCCAGCCGCAAGCCGCCAGCCACCGGCACCTACCTCTGCCCAATCTATAAGACTCTCACTCGCGCAGGTAGGTACCCTACAGGCAGATCTCCAGAAGCAAGGGAGAGTGTAGAAGCAGCGAGGAAGGGCAGCCCAGGGGAGGCGGCAGGAGTTCTTCCTGACACACACTGCTATGGAGCGAGGCGCTGTTGGCTGAGACCAGCCAGAGAGAAAAAGATTTCTCCTGCTGTGGTCGTGGAGATGACGCAGGCAGGCACCCCAGCTATGCAGCAGCGCCTATGGCCAGGCCCTCCTCAAGCCCACACCCCAAAATACACGAGCCTGTTTCCCCCAGCCCTGCTCAGCCTGTCACTAGCCGGGGATGGGACAGGGGATCGCGCATGGCGTCACTTTTACAGGACTCCCCGGTCAGCGCGCAGCAGCCGGGGCCGCAGTACCTCTTGCCCTTGCTTTCCCTGTTACAGGCACGCTGTCAACAACAGGCCACTCCACCAACTACGTGATTGCTGTGGAGATCCCTACAGACAAGCCGCAGAAGCATTGGATCAAACGGGGCACAGCCTTGGTCTGCGCCCTGGATTTCTAGCTGGAAAAACCCAGGGCCTCCGCCATCCCTGCCAGCAGCTGCTCCCCTCCCCTCCTGCCCTCTGAGCTGTGTCAATAAATTGAGCTTGACTGCACCAGCACCGCATTCACCTGGTGGTGTTGCAATCCCCACAATTTCCTCAAGTTTTTAGCACCACAGAAGAGCTGCCAGCAGGGACACGGCCAGGAGCAGGCACTGGGTGCTCCTAGCCGCACACACGCCCCTCTCCCTTCCCTCGCACACCTCTCCCCGGGCTGGCTGTTAGAGGATAGCTTTATTCCTTCAGACAGATCCGTTATTTACAGAACTTGATATTAGACACAGCAAGAGACAAAAGGATTTTCTTCCCTTCAACAAATACCAAAAGAACAGTTTCATTCCATAGTCAAGATCTGTACACATTTGCAAAATTCAGTCCTCTCCTGGGGCAGCTCTCCTTGGCCCAGAGAGGTGCTGACCTCTGGCTTCTGAGATTTCTGCCAGGCTGCTGGGGACAGGCAGAAGCCCGTGTGCAGGAGGGCTGGCAGGCGAGAGGCAGGCAGGAGGAAACGGCGAGCTCCGGGCAAGCAGCCAGCGAGCGGCTTGGGCAGGAGGAGCTTTGGGCTCCCTCCGCTGCTTCCGCTGCCACTGCAGTCCCCCTCCCACCTTGAGCATTACAGCAACTGGTCACCTCTCCCCACGCGGAAAGGCTTCGCCAGGGGCACCAAGTGACTCCACATGCAGCGTCCACCCCTGCGCCGTGCCCAGCAGCACCAAGGCCACCCTATGAACTTGGTCCATTCATAATTCCCGGGGTTTCTCCGGGGACTGGGCCTGGAGCAACCCCGTGCGACCCACAGGCACCACCAGGGCCACCGAGCTGCTTCCCAGGAAAGCAGCCGTGGCAGCAGAGCCACGCGCCGCCCCCCAGCACCCCCGTGGAGGCCCAGCTCCAGGGACGAGCCCACCCATCCTCACCCGGCAATAGAGCTGCCACAGCCCCGCAGGGAGCCTGGGGGTGCCGCAGTGAGGGCAGGGCGAGGCAGGACGGCCTGGCCACGCCTCGGCCCGCTCTGGGAGCTGGGCAGTGCGGCAGCGGGTGGATGCAGGAGAACAGGCTCCGTCCAGAAACAGCCTCACTCAGCGATGGCCAAAGCATGGGTCAGAACCACAAAGACATTTGGGGAAAGGGATAGAAAACACAGACATCAATGTCCCGGGGAAGCGCAGAGCTGAAGGCCTGGAGGCAGGAGGACACAAGCCACAGCCAGCTCCAGCCTTGCGTTGGCATCACCAGCGTTCCCACAATGCCAGACCTGCCACCGGCCGGGTGAGCTCTTCCCCTCCTGCCGCAGTCCTCAGCCACGGTGCCGAGACCCGGGCCCACAGCATCCGGGCGCTGCCACGGCACGGTCAGGCAGCTGGGCACTCCAGCTCGCCTTCTGCTGCAGCTGCAGGGACTCCCCTCGAGACAACACGTTTCCGCCTTTCACATCTCAGGCTCGGAGGAAAACCTGATTTCTCTTTGTCCCCAGGGTCCACCTTGGCCGAGGGCTTGTCGCTGTGGTCCCTCTTCCTTGGGCAAAGCGTAACATAGATCCAAGTGTCACTGCCCAAAGCCCCAAAGCCCAGCTGCTGCTTCTCACAGTCTCGACTCCCAGGCTACTGCCGCTTGGCTTTATAGGGGCGGGAGCGTTTCCGGCGGTCCGGCTTCCTCTGCTTGTGCAGGCGGCCGATACTGACTCCCTGCCGCCTGCGGACGGAGATGTTCTGCTCCACGAGGCTTGCCAGCATGCCTGCAGGGGGAGAGGCAGGCAGACACGTCCCGCGCTGGAGTGCCGGTATTGCCCGTGCCAGAGCGCAGCCCCCCCTCTCTCACCCCAAACCCGTCGGTGGGCTCCTCCTGGGACTATAACATCAGAGGGACACAGAGCAGAGACATGTGGCGCCCCGGACTGAGCGCTACCTCACACCCCGGGTCTGGCGGAAGCAGAGATCGGGGCAGCGTGAGCTTCCCAGGCTCCCGGCTGCTGCTCTGCCACACTCAGGGCAGCTCCCCCAGCTGAACCTGAACCCCACGCTCCGTCCCCTCGGCCGCACAGCACAGCTCACCTTCCTGGGCCAGCATGGAGATGAAGGTACAGATGAACTCATCGTAGTTGTGGGTTCTCCTCTGGTCATCGATCTACAAAGAGATGACAAATCCACAAATAATCCACAAACAAGTGGCAGAGCAAAAGGAGAGCTCAAGGCTAACAGGGGGCAAAGAACCGGCATGCCTGGCCCATCATCCCACAGGCCAAGGAGACCAGAGCGGGAAGGGACCTGGCTCCCAGCCCAGCTCAGGCCAGTGCACAACTGGGATGTTCTCCATCCCAGTTCAGATTTTCCACAAAGGGCAGCAGGGAAGAGGCTAGGGTGGGCAGGGGAGGAATCCTGCCAGGCCTCGGGGCAGAGACTCCCCCCTTCCTCCTGTCAGTGCTGATGTTCAGCTGTGGCCCAGCTGCAGTGCCCCACCATCCTCCTCAAGCTCATTAGCGCTGCCCAGGGGATTCGGTCTGTCCTGGCGGGAGCTCTGCGCCCTGGGGCTGTTTGGTAACGGGAAAGAGACCCCAAGTGCTCCCCATGGCCGTTCTCAGCTGAAACACCCTCCCTCCACTTTGACGTAAAGACACCCCAGACAAAAGCCTTCAGGGAGCTAAATCACCAATGCAAACTGGCCATCAACAAACACACCTTGAATTTCTTCCTCTTCTCCACCTCCTCCTTCAGGCAGGCTTCGTAGTTCGCAATCTCTGCCTCCACGCACTTCAGTAGTGCCAGCAGCTCCTGCCAGGATCAAGCAGAGCAAACGTAAGCAGACGGACCCCTGCCGCAGCCCAGGAGCCAGCAAGATGAGCTGGTGGGTGTTCTGCTCTGTGCTGCGAAAGGGAGGATTCATCAAAGCAAAAAACACTTGCCAGGGCGGGGAAAAAAAGAGCAGTTCATTGCAGGGAATTTCTGAGTCAGAGGGTGATCAACCAGCCAGCGCTACAGGCAGCCCCAGGGGAGCCGGGTTCTGCCCCAGCCTGGCCCAGCCCCGTGTACCCGGTTCTCTGGGACAGGGGCAAGGGCTGCCTGCATGCCTGAGAAACACCCCGGGGCCTGGTTCTTCCCAATAACAAATTTGAAGACTTTCCTTTTCAGTAAAACAGTTTCTAGTCAGCTCTCCTCCAGGGAGCCCTGATGCGCTTGTGCCGCCCACACCCGCTCCTGTCTCTGGCTGGAGGGCAGAGACAGGCAGTAAAGTTATCAGCAGGCTGGGATTTGGGGGTGCGGGGCCCCGCCAGCCCCTGGCCCAAAGGAGAGCACAGCACGCCGAACGTCTCGGCTGTGGGAGACAGCGGCTCTGCCCACTGCCAAGGCAAATGTCCCCGAGATGACGCAAGGCACAAAACCTGCACTGCCCTGTGCCTCGAGAGACGGCTGCGGCGACACGCGAGTGGGACAGCGTGCACATGCGGTTCGGTCACTGCCAGCGCTGCTGCGTCTCTGGGTGAGCGCAGGGAGCTCCACGTTCCCAGGGCTGTCGCAGCACAAAACTCACCTTGGGAGAATACTTTTCCCCCCCAGGGTGATCACTGGTCCTGCCAAGTCCCACCTTCTCTTTGCTGTCACTGGCCTCACTGCCCTCCTTCTCGTCCAGTTTGATTGCAACCGGGGCCTCTTCACCGGGTTTGATGGAAGGGGGGGAGCTTTTCCCCCCATCTGCACACAGGGGAAGGAAGCGTTAGGAGCCATCGTGAAGAACCAGAATCCACTCCCGAAGTCAAAGGACATTGTCCCGTCACCACAGGGGAGATGTCACCCCCCAAAAGCTGGCAGGCACCCACCTGCAACAGCCAGTGGGCAGAAGACGCCGTCCTCCGTGAGGTGCAGCAGCCCGGTGCTGATAACGGGCCCCAGGTCCCGGACGGCCCGGTTGTAGCGCATGCAGTCGACGCGCAGTAGGCCGTCCTCCTCGCCGAAGAGCACCTTGGAGATGTGGGAGGTGACGGGGCTGGAGGGGCGGGTGGGGTTGGCCGAGCGGATGGGAGAGCGCAGCGGGGAGTTGAAGGCGCTGCCGATCTCGGAGGCGGTGTCCGTGCTCTCGTTGCTGGGGGTGGGAGAGGGCTGGGAGTGGGTGACCACCGCCACAGCGGCGCCCCCGCCGCTCGTCTTGATGGACAGGGGAATGGAAAGATCCTTTTGAGATTCCTTCAGCTTCTCAGCCAGGACGTTGATGGTGTTGGGCTGGAGGACGGAGAGCTGGCCGTCCGCAGCCCCCGTCCCGTGCTCTTGCTTTACCTGCCCTTTCCGTTTGTACCTGCCCAGGAACAGAGCAGGGAAGGTGAGTAGCTGGTGGAAGGAGGTGGGGGCCCAGTGCAGCACTGCAGGCTGTCTGCTGGGAGGAAGATTTCTAGGTCGTCCCCACTGCCACCAGCTTCTCTGACAGCACCCCACCCCACTGAACCGC